ATGCAGCATTGAAGACTGATGAATACATTTTGGAGAAAACTATTATTGAGATTATTTCCAAACTTGTGGTGAGTTTACCAATATTTTCCCTCTATCAATCCTTAGCCTTGACTAGAAACTAGATAAATATTATACAAATAAACATAAAGCAAGCTGACTAAATTAAATAATAATTATAAGAGTAGAAATTAATATATATTAACATCAAAAATAACATCTGAGAAATAATAATATCAGAGGATTGTTCTTTGAATAGATTAAGAACATTGATTATCTATCAACACTGACATAGGTGAAAAAGAGAAGAACAAATGATATTTACTATAAACAAAAAGGGAGATATTATTATAGATCCTGCCAACATAAGGGAACACTGTGAATATCTCTGTTTGATAAAATAAACCAGTTCTTTCAAAAGGGTAAACTTTCAAAAATCACCCAACATAAAATAGCCTGAATAGTCCTACATTTATCACATAAATTATGTCTGTAGTTACAGCCTTCCTGAAAAAGAATTACCCAAGCCATTATGGTTTCACTAGCAAACTTACTAAGGATTTAAAGAAGAATTATCAGAAAGCCTATGCTTTGATTTTAGAAAATAGAAAAAGAAGAGCTGCACCTCACCATTTTTATGAGTCCAACATTATACCCACTCATGCAAGTAGATAAATATAGTACAAAAGTTCTTAAGAACCCTCATGCAATTATTTTCAAGAAAATATCAGAAAATTATCTTAAACAATGAAAAAAGACTAAATATGTTTATCTCAGAGATTTAAATTTGGTAACACATTCAGATTTCCTCAATGCAATACACTACATTAAAAAGGATTGTATAAATAGATGTAGAAAAATATTTGACCAAATTCAAAATTCATTCTGGATTAAAACAAGTTTTTAATAAATGAAGAATAGAATCTCTTCATCCAAATAAAAGACATGCAATAATTTTGCAATTAGTATTATAGTCAATGATGAACAAATCAATGTTTGTTCCCCACAATTCAAAAACAAGAAAATAGTGTCCATTTAGCATTTGAGATCATCATACTGTTAGCATTGACCAGTACAGTAATACAAGAAAAATAAATAAAAGCCATGGAAGAAATAGGATTACCTATATTCCCAAAAGACGTGATTATTGTCTACATAGAAATTCACAAGGACTTTTAAAAAATTGTCCTAGAACAATAAGTGATTTTCCAAGATACAAAATCAACATAGAAAAATCTATTGTACTGTTATATATTAGCATGCAGCAATTAGAAACCTATAATATATTAAATCTGCAGTTCATAATATCTCCAAAATTAAAATACCCAGGTATACATTTCACAAAATTTCTACAGGTCCTCTATGATAAAGTATACAAAGGAAATTAAGGAAAGCCTAGCACACAGGCCTATGAATTTTACAAGTCTCAATGTAGCAAAAATTGTCATTTGTTTCCAAAATAATTCACATATTAAGTACAATTAAATTTGATTGATTACAATTAAATCTTGGTAGTTAATTTTAATATTAATTATAATATTAGAATTATAGAGAAGAGGAACCGAAAATTTGTGTGTGATCCAGAGAATATAGGATTTCTAAATAATTCTTTAAAAAAGAGGCATTAAATAGGGAAATCTATCAGATTTCAAGATTTACTATAGCAATGGTAATCACAATGCTATGGTATTGGCAAATTAGGGCAGAACACACATAATTCAATGGAACAAAAAAGATCTACATTCATATGGTCAGTTGATTTTTGACAAATGTGCAAGGGAAATTTAGTAAAAGCTAACAGACTTTCAAGAAACATAGCAATTAGGCAAATTTACACACACACGTAAACTCTGGTCTAAATTTTATATATTATATAAAATATAAAATGGATCATATATGTAAAAATGCAAATTATTAAACATTTTAGAGAAGAATACAGGAGAATGTATTAATGACCCTAGGTTTAGGCAGAAAGTCTTTAAAAGAAGAAATACACACACACATACACACATGCACAAACTCATATAGGACTTCAAAACGGTAAAATTCATCGTGATTAAAATTTGGGACTCTTTAAAAAGTAATGTTAGAAAAGAAAAAGGAAAGCTATAGGTTAGGAAAAAATATTTAAAATTGCATATCCAACCAGTGTCTTTTATTAAGTATGCATGAAGTGCTGTTAATGATTTTTCTGTGGGAAACACTTGATTTAAAATTGGACAGCCTACATAAACAGCCTACTTAAAATGTAGAGATGCATATGGCAGATAATCACATGAATGTGTGGTCAACATAATGTATTGATAGGAAAATTCAAATTATAAAGCACAATCTGGTGAGAAAACCTAGAACTGTCATCTGTTTCTGAGGGGAATGCAGAATGGACAGCTATGTTGGAAAAGAGTATCCAGTTTTCTATAAACATACACTTAACATGCAACCCAGTCATTCTACACCCCAGAGAAAATAACATATTTTGAAACCAAACTTACATATGAATTTTTATAGTAGCTTTATTTTCACAACTGGTATCAATCAAATACAGTTTGGTACATGAATCTGAAAATATGTTGTCGTATATCCATTTGTTGCAACATTAATGAATCTGCAAATATGTTGTCATGTATCCATTTATTGGAACATTATCCACCATTAAAAATGAGTGGACCCTTAAATTAAAAAGATAAAAATAACAGCAAGGGTTAGCCACATAAGTTGGGCCTTAGTCTTTTGAATGAATGCGAGAAGCCAGGACCAAAAGCTGGCATTACATAGAATTCCTCCTTGGTGATATTCTCAAAAAGGCTAAATTACGGTGATGTGGAACATCTCAGTGTTTACCAGAGCCCCCTAGTGTAACAGTTTGTAACTACATTGAGAAAACCCGAGGGAGCTTTGAAGCTATGGGCCGGTTTTGCACCCTGATTTCCTTGGTGTTTGCATCATTCACGGTGTGTTAACATCCATAGAGCTGGACAATAAAAACAAAAATTCTTGTTAATGTGATGTTAATAACAACATAAAAAATAAAATTGCTTAAGTAAGATTGTGAGTTAGAGATCAGCTTGAGCTACATAGCAAGACCCTGTATAAAGAAATAAATAAATAATTTGTGAATTTTCTGTTCTCTGAATTGTTTGAAAGAATCTATAAATCTATTACTCCGGATATCACAGCTTTAATCCCCAAATCAAGAAGGAATATCAGAAGAATTTTTCGGTCAGCCCGTACTTTTGTGCTCCTATGTTCAAAATTAGTTTCAGAAATGCCGTGATGAATAGCTTCATCATGAGAAAACTCATTAATAAGCTTTCACTTATCATTTATTCGACGTTAAGAAAGTACATTTGGGAAACTTCCAGCACATCACCTCTTTTTGCAGTGTAAGTTAATAAAAAGCCTAGTATTTTTACTCTACTTAGCTTTCAAGTTGCTTTATAGTGGGTTATGTGGCACATAAATTATGATGGAAGCGGTAGTACATTATTTCTAAGATGAGGTCGTAAACATATTGCAGTGGCTACTCTATTCTGGAATAACTAGCTATTTTGCCATGACGATATCCAAGCAGTGTCACAAGGACAAGCCAGTTTTCCTGCACCAATCTGTCACTGTGCCTTTCACATGCCGTCCACTCAGGAGCTGGATTGTCCAGTCTCAAGTCATCAAATAACTGCAGGCCCCTGCCCCGACATTTGACTGCAACCACCTGGAAGATCAGAAGCAAAAATCTGCCCTATCCGTACACGCTCATATTCTTAACTCAAAAAATAACGCGTAGTAAATAATTACCATTTTCTTAGGTCAGAACTTGCCCTGTATTGTGTACACATAGGATTGAATGTCATGAAGGCCCATAGTATATAAATTCTTAAGAAGGAAGTGAGGAAATAAAGAATTGAATTGAAAAAGATGTTGGCAGCCTGAGTACTCGTGAGCTTTCATCATGATGTAGAACTGCTGGAGTGGGAAGAGGGAGAGACAGTTTTGTGCATGACATCGAGTTTTCAACAGTTCTGCATGTGTGAGGCAGATCACCCAAGAGGATGATCCTAAGAAGCCATGACTGAATCTAGGTCATGGGAGTTAGGACACCCAGCAAGAGGCAAATGTTTGGGCTCATGGATTAATTGAATCGGTTACTAATTCAGAAAGTGGGTGTGTTTTGTTTCTGTTTGTTCTTTAGTTTGTTTAATCATTTGTTTATAAATGACAGCCTTCCTGTACCCAACTAGAAAGTATGTGAAGAAAGCATGAAATGGTGACTTATTAGTGGAAGGTGATTTTTGTGCATGGAACAAATAATAAAATGGAATAAGAATATAAGTGCAACAGTAAATTTTCACTTAGGCTTGGATTTCTGATATGTTAAGAAAGGATTTTTACATATCAAAATAGTCATGCAAGTATGAGATTTCTACTTTAAAGTTTATGTTGAAAACTCGATGTCATCTTTGGAACCCTGATCAAACCCTGAGCAACAGATATAAAATAAAAGAGGTTAATATCAGCTTGGTTTATCAAACAAAAGATGTTACTAAGTGTATGCAAAAGGAAATATATGTACATAGATAAAAAGAGTTAATATCCAGTTATTATCAAACAAAAGATGTTGCTAAGCATATGCAAAGGGAAATATATATATATATATATGTTGATTTTTGATGAAACTATAACCATGACCGGGCAGGGCTGGTATCTACTATAAATACCCTTGAGGAACAATAATGATGATGAATTTGAAGTTATAATGACATATGCAAAGTCACTGCAAACGTACCTACACTATGGTGTGCATTTTGAACTGTTTGATTAAAACCAAGGTCATTCCTAATGAGACATGGACAAGTAACCACATGGAAGTTTTAAACAACACATATATTTATGTTACTAGCTTGGAGTGAGCAAGATTTGGTGACTACCTATTCCATTAATACAAGATTTTAGCAAAAACTCAATCAAAATCAAATGTGAATGTTAATTTTTAAAAAATTTTCAATTAGGTATTCAATTGACAGAAACACAGACCTGGAGAGATACTTCAATATTGATGCCAACAGTGGAGTTATTACAACTGCAAAATCTTTGGATCGAGAGACAAATGCTGTTCATAACATCACAGTCCTTGCAATGGAGAGCCGTAAGTTGTAAGGTTTAGAACTGCATCAGGATGGAGGACAATGAGAGTGGAAAAGAGATTGCTGTGTGAGATTACAAAATAAGTATAAATTGTGACAGTTGCTTAGTTGATTTCGACAAAAGAAGTGAATGTCCAAAATTTCCAAGCTGTAAAGAAAAACCTTATATTCATTTGCCTTGTATGGTAACCTTTACAAAAGTTAATGAAAAGAAAACAGAAAAAAATAATAAGCTTGCATTAACTTCCTAGGACTATTTGTGGTTCTGTGGTCATGGTTTATTTATTTCATTTATGCTGATAGGGAATTGGCAAAAGAACATACAATAATTGGTAACTTGATTCCTACCAGCACAGATAGACTTAAATATCTGGTATTGATCTATGTTTTTTTTTTTTTCCCCCCTCCGGTACCGGGAACCGAACTCACGACCTTGCACTTGCCAGGCAGGCACTTTTGCTGCTGAGCTAAATCCCCAGCCCCTAAGCTAAAACCCCAGCCCCTGTTTTTGTTTTTGTTTTTTTTTTTTTTTCTCCGGTACCAGGAACCGAACTCACGACCTTGCGCTTGCCAGGCAGGTGCTTTTGCCGCTGAGCTAAATCCCCAGCCCTGTTGATCTAATTTTAGTCCCTCCTAGAAACAACATTGAAAAATGCATAACCATATGCATGTGTATATATTATATATTATTAATTAGTTAATAGACATGCAACTACATTATGTACATATATAATATGAATTTATATCCATAAAAACATGAGCTGTAGCATCAAGGACTATTGAATTTTGTGGTTTACTCTTTGTTCTGGCAAGAGCTGTCTCATCAAAGACTAAAAGCCCATATATACATAAAATATCACATAAACATATATATTGACACATGTATAAATATATAAACATGCCTGTACTTACATATACACACCACATATACACATGCCATGTGTAACGTATGTATATGCATGCTCTATAAATTCATATGTGCACACACTTGGATCAGTATATCTGTGACTCCTTGAAAGAATATAGGGTTGTGGTTCTAGATTTTATTTGAGAGTTATTTCATTTTAGAGATGGAAACATTTTTGCCTCATTTCTAATAAAAGATTTTGCATGTTGTTCATGTAAGTTTCCTTAGTAAAATAACAGCAAAATAATGAATTTTGTATAAGAGTACATGATACACATTCTTTCTTTTGTTAGAGAATCCATCTCAGGTCGGAAGAGGTTATGTCGCCATCACAATCCTTGACATCAATGACAATGCCCCAGAGTTTGCCATGGACTATGAGACTATGGTCTGTGAAAATGCACAACCTGGACAGGTGAGTTTCAAAACATTTTACTCCTCATCTGCAATGCTTTTAAAAAATATCCAGGAGCAATGCCTTTGAAATCTTCCAGGTTAAGATAACATATAATCAGCTTGTTTCAGCAAAGCTAACACTTTGATGTGTAACATGAATTAATATTAAAGGGATTTTCAAATCCTGGTTTAATTGGCTGATGAAAGTTCCTCAGGAAGAAGAAGTAAACATTGTAAAAGCCTTTTAAATGGTTAAGAGCTGAGACTCCTTCAAGGAGAAGTGCATCACGTTAAGCTTGCTTGGCTGTGTCCCATATTACAGGCAGTGGAAGTGCCTTGAGGGTCTAAGACTGAAGCAGCATGTCAGTTTGGTTCATTGATTCCTATTGTCCTGTGTCTTGTGTTCATTCATTACTATGGTTCTCTATCTTGGGACGTTTACTGCAATGTCCAGTCAGTTGACACAGCCCGTTTAGGGTGATCACAGGAGTAAGTTTAAAAGTGCACTTTAAGAAGGACCCGATCTGTTTTCCAGAGCCCTTTTGAGATAGGGTTCACACTGGCACATCTGATCCATTCCCCCAGCTCACTGAGGAAGATGGCATTTATTATATGGGAAAAAATTGCTCTGTCCTGGCTCAGAATACATAGCAGAACAGAGCAATATGCCTTCCTGTTTTGCATTTTCTTTTCCTAGGTCATCCAGAAAATCAGTGCTGTTGACAAAGATGAGCCCTCCAATGGACACCAGTTCTACTTCAGCTTAACAGTGGATCCAACAAATAATCATAACTTTTCCTTGAAAGACAACAAAGGTAGGTACTGTCACCTGTGGAGGCAGCAAGTATGGGCTCTCTCATCAAACACTGTTTCTCCTTCAGGAATCCTAGCTATAATTTTTTTAAAAAGCAAAAACATTAATTAAAGGACAAATGAGAACCTCAAGTAATTTTAATTCGTAGATCTGCTGTCATGAAGGGGAAGCTGCTATTTAAATCTTTTTCGGCTTAAAGCCAAGTGAGGAAAGTTAGATCTATGTTTTTTTTCTTCTTTGCAACTAGACATGTACTTCCTTACCAAGTTCTTCATCCAAATGCTCTGTTGAGGGCCAGTTAAATGCCTTGTTAAGAATTGTGCTACACAGATCCAAATTAAGACATTAGACAATAACTGACCACACACAGTTCAACCTAAATCAATTTTTGCTTGATATTTTCAAGAATAACATTTTTACATAAAAATAAAGATGATCCATGGAACTTATAATAATATATTAATTATTCTATAACTACAGTTTCATAAAAGAATTCTCTCTACTGCTACATTGCTTTTCCCAGCTAAAAAGTAAGGTTTTAGGACTTTCTTAATTGCTATTATAAAAACATTCCTGCAGATATCTGTGAGTAGAACCTGATTTTGTTTGTTAATATATTTTGACAACTATAAGAACTTTTAAAGGAAGCAGGTGAACTTTGTATATCCGGTTTCTCTGGAAAAACGTAGAAATGCATAGCTTAAGTGCTCAAATACTGGCTTACTGCAAGGGCTTTCTTTCAAAAGATGAATACTATGAGGGCTTTTGCCTGAGGCCACAATCCATTTTACTGCAGAAAATCCAATTTTAGCCTCAAAAAATGCAATCGGAAAATAATAATTTTTTGCTTATCCAATTCTCCACTTACTCAAAACTGTGTATTCACTTTATAAAAGAAAGTAGGTTTTTATATGGGTCATCTCAATCTCCCTGACTTAATTGTCATTGGAAAGGATAATCCTCAGCTCTCAGGGTAGTCAGTCCAACATGGAGGATATGTAACCTTTGCAAGAAGAATGTAAATATATTTCCCATGTGTCATGATGCTGTACCGCCATGGTTACTGTATGGAAATATCTGGGTTTCCAGGACCTTCATACTAAACTCCCAAACTTGATCTTGAAAGAGAACACATAAGTAGGAAGAAAACCAATTCTTAAGGTTTTTCTTTCCATGTTAGGGAACAAGTATACAATTTTAAAATTTTATAGTTTCTTTCCTGAGCACAGGGTTCTCTTCTCACATATTAGGTACCTCACTTTATGCTCTTTAACTCGTTGTATGATATGTATTATTTTGATATCAGTCATGTTAGATAACAAATCGACAACTTTATACAACTTTCTATATCAAGTTGTAAATACATATAGCATCTACACTGGTGAGCCACAAAGCCATAGATATGTGTGTCATTGTTAAGTGTGTAGGAACATACTGAAGAAAATATTCCTTAATAATTCTGTTTGTTTTTTCAGATTTATATATTTTAAAGTAAAATATTTACTCAACTAAAAATCTACCAGATGGCAATTGATCATCACATGTTTTATCATTTCATTAATAATTGCATTATTATTTTTTCTGCTGTTCACATATGAGCTTATTTTGTGCTGCTTGAGAAGAATGAATGCTTTTTAACTAGAGATTGTTAATCCTTTAATCTTAGTTTGCAATCCCACTTGAGTATTGTCTTCTTATTTGATAATACCAATGTAATATTTACACACATCTGTTTGATTTATTTTATTTAAGAATATATTTTAAGGTGCATCCATTTACCTATAAATGTCTGACGTTTTCTTTCTTTATGGTTGAGTAGTATTGCATTGTATCAAAAACCATATCTTCTTTATTCATTCCTCTACTGGTAAGCATTTGGGTTGTTTTTAAGATTTAATTATTAAAAACTGTGCCACTATAAACAAGGGTGTGCATATATCACTGTGGTTTGATATTTTTAATTATTTTTGGAAGATACCAAGAAGAGGAATAGCTGGATCAAATAGAATCTCTAGTTTTAGTTTTTTGAGGAACCTCTACATTGATTTTCACGGTGATTGCACCAGTCTACACTCCCACCAACAGTGGATCAGAATTCCTTTTTCCTCACAGCTCTGCCTGCATTTGTTATTGGTAGATTTATTGATAATAGCCATTCTTTCTGTAGTGAGATGGAATCTCAGCATTGTTTTAATTTGCAACTCTTGAATGATGTTGAACATTTTTTCATATATTTATTTACCATTTCTACTTTAACTGAGAAGTCTATTCATTTCAGATGCCCATTTTTGGATTGGGCCTTGAAATTTGAGGAGTATGGTTTTTTGTGAGTTTTTATGTATTCTAGATATGAGTCCTTTGTCTGAGGAACAGCTGACTAAAACTTTTCCCACTCTATGGGTTTTCTTTTCATTCTGTTGATGATTTCTTTTGCTGTGCAAAGCTTTTTAATAAGATGAGATTTAGTTGTTGATTCTTAGTAATATTTCTCAAGCAGTTGGGGTTTTATTCATAAAGTCTGGGCCTACACCTATGTCTTGAAGAGTTCAGCCTATTCTGTTTCTAGGAGATTTAGTTTTTCTGTCTTAAGATTTAAAATTTGATTTATTTTTATTTTAGTTTAGTGCATGGTGACAGATGTGAATCTAGTTTTAGTCTTTGGCCTGTGCAAAGCCAGTATTTCCAGCATCATTTATTAAAGAGTCTATCTTTCTTCAGCGAATGTGTTTCCCTCCAAAGATAAGGTGACTGAGTTTGTCTGGAGTTGTTTCTGCAGCTTCTAAGCTGTTCCACTGATCCTTAAGTGTGTTTTTGTTTTTGTTTTTGTTTTTTGCCAGTACCATGGTGTTTTTATCACAGTAGCTTTGTAGTATAATTTCAAATTAGAGATTGTGATGTTTTTCTGACTTGTCTATGTTGCCCAGAATTGTTTGAGATATTATATGTCTATTATTTTTCACCATCTCTATAATTGTGTGGTTTACTCTTTAAGTAAAATGATGTATTATATGTAGTTTTGACAAAGTTAGATTTAATAAAATAAGTAGCATGTAAGCATTTTTATATTAAGCTCTACTTTATATCTATTTATTTGACTATGTGCAGATTAATATAAAATGTCCTATAATGTATTATATCAGAAATATATCTTTGTCCAGTGACCTTCAAAAAAATTTATTTAATAAATATCTGCGATTCCAGGACATTTTCCAACTAAGGAATAAATGTAAACATAATCACTTAAAATTTGAAGACTGGTTCCATTAGAAATCATGCTATATAAAGGGCTGGGGATTTAGCTCACCTGCATAGCGCCTGCCTGGCAAGCGCAAGGTCGTGAGTTCAGTTCCCGGTACCGGAAACACAGCCCCCCCCCCCCCGGAAAAAAAGAAAAAAGAAAGAAATCATGCTATATATTTGCTTTCTTTATCCTAGACAATACAGCCTCAATTCTCACCCGGAGAAGTGGCTTCCGGAGACAGGAGCAATCTGTTTACTACCTGCCAATTTTCATTGTGGACAGTGGATCCCCCTCACTCAGCAGCACCAACACCCTCACCATCCGCGTGTGTGACTGTGATGCGGATGGCATAGCCCAGACTTGCAATGCAGAGGCCTATGTCTTACCTGCTGGTCTCAGTACAGGAGCCTTGATAGCAATACTGGCCTGTGTCTTGACCTTGTTGGGTAAGTACTGCTTACAGTGCTTGCTCTAGAGGAGCAACTGCAAGAACCATGTTTTGCAGCTTTCTTACTTTCTTCCCCCTTCCTTTGGATTATCTTTTTAAGAACACGTGCAAATATTCCACTGGATGGTATTTATTCTCTAAATAACACTCACTACATGGCCATACTACCCACTAGTATAGTTAAAATCTAATGCAGAAAAAATAGTTATCGATTTCAGTTTCAAAAAATAGGCAAGATAAATGGCTTATGCTTATGTTTTTCATGATGTTTTAAAAAGCATAGCCTTTCCCATTTATTTGTTTTCTGGTATACAGCAAAGAAGGTACTCTAAACCAGAAAGAACATTTTCTATGTTATTTTGATAATATGCTTATTTTAGAATTATGACTTTGTGAGCCAACTTTTTACAAAAACACTTAAAGTAGCTTTTTACAATTATTAGCAAAATCTAAAGTGCTAAAATTTAAGCAATGGAAAAGTTATACTTTCCTAGAAAATTATTAGCATATTTAATTCTAATTTTCCATGATTACTTTATTGCTTATTTAAATTTGATTTATAATTCCTGTTAGCATTACCATTTCAGTACCCTTTTAAAATTTGGGAGACATCCAACAAGGCCATCGGGTAATGGGTTTATTTCAGGGAAATTTCTCCTTCACATCTGAACTTACTACAAGGACAGCAAGCACATACTCTTGCACATGAGATTGTGCTGCATGATTTCTTGGGGTATAATAGAATTACTAAATCCATTTATAACATATTATCATAAAAGCAGCATTTACAATGGAATTCAGCATTGTTTAAAAATTTGACTAGAGGAGTTAGACTGAACTAACTTCTATTTCTGCCTCCAGTAATATCTAGTTGTTCACAAGGGGAGTTGTGATTCCCCCTTTGATAGCATCCTAATTTAAAAGGGGAAACCTATAGCTAGTCTCATGCGATGGTTGTGGAACTTAAGTGAGGTAGAGCCAGGAATATAGTTCAGTGGCACAGCACCTGCCTGGCAAGTGCAAGGTCCTGAGTTTGATTCCTAGCACCAAAAAAAGGGAGAGAGAATTAAATGAAATAATTCATGCAGAGAACAGAATTCCTAGCACACAGTGAACATTCAATCTATTTTAAGTGTTACTGATGATGCTAAACTCCTCACTCTATTAACCATGCGAAGGCCTACTTACTAATACATTGCAAACAGTCTCATAAAAACAGAAGTTACTATCTTCCATAACTTCAGCTAAACAAACAAAGCCAGAAGAAAATACACTATTTTTTTGCAGAAAGCTTCACACAAGTGACAGAAACTTTCAGAAATTTATTAGAAATAGCACATAATTCCCAAAGTCTGATTAGAATATAAAAGGACCAGAATACATTTTTAAAAAAATGAACCCATTACAAATATGTTATTGCTCTACTGGGTTCCAAAACATAAATAATGTAAATGTAAATTGAATATTTACTTTATAGTAGAATAACTTACATAAGAATGTTTAAAAATTTTTTATGTGTTGAAGATGACAATGTCTTTAGCTTGAAAATACAGATTCAGAACAAAAGCGAGAGAATATGCAGGTGGTGTTTGGAATACGTTTCAAATTTAACCAGGATATTACAAACAACACTCATTAAACTATACCAAAAAAGGGTAAGATAAAACTATGTTACCCCACATTTCATCACCACCTATACTGTATTGACATTTATTTAGGGTCTTTCTCTGGCTTTGGGTAAATCTTTTGATCTGTTAGTTTGGGGTTCTTGCATTTGAGGTTGCTTGGAAATTCTAATTAGTTAAGAGTCATCGAGCTGTTATTCAAGACAACTGAAATAGAGATTTATTAGATTTCAGTCTCCAATCTTGTTATATATAGTATATATACATATATGTGTGTGTGTGGATGTGTGTGTGTGTGTGTGTGTAGGGATGCCAAATTTTGCCACAATTTTTATCGAAATGTAATTTTGATTGCTCTTAAATTTGAGTATATTTCTTAATGGTTAAGCAATCAGAAATACCTTATCCTATCCTAACAATCAAGATTTCATACCTTATTTTACTCATTTAAAAAAATCTACAAGTCTACAAAATGTAAATAAGAACAGAGCCTTACACTGAACTATGGTTTTAAAACAGGAGCCTGCAGCTTCCATTCTTACAGTGACACAATATAATCACCGTGTTCTGCTCAGTAGCATTTCAGCTCAGAATTTTAATCTTTTTGTATCTTAATTCCTCACTTGGTAAAAGCAGAGGATGATGGCTCTTCATTCTTTTTTCACTATTACAGGCTGGATTTCCCCACAACTGGTGATAAAGCCAAGGAAGCTGAGGTTTTTAGGGGCTGGAAGGAGTGCAGAGCATGGTGTGCTGATTTCTGGTGTACAAACTGCTCATTCTTTACTACAGCTCTATCAGTGGCATAAATATGGTTTACACTAGAATCAGTATTTGTAACTCAAACTTTTTCACACTTCGAAATATCTTCTACAAAAGTGGATAAAGATGTGGGAATGATGAAAAAATTTGAGAATTGAGTTCAATTAAAGTTGAAACTATTGAAGCATCTGGGCTTTGCAGTCTTAAAAAAAAACATACTTTACTTATCAGTTTCGCACTGCTGTTATGTGACAAATTAAAGTGACGTGACGTGACGTGACGTGACGTGACGTGACGTGATGTGACAGAAGGTGATATACCGAATATCCCAGGATACTGACACTGGAAGATGTCCTAGACATTGATTCTAGCCCAAACCTCTGTGCTCTACAAAGGGGAATTTGCAGTACAATTACACTCAGGATCTGCAAAAGTTCATACAGCAAGTTACAGGCTAAAATGGTGTAAGATTCTAATCGCAATAAAATCTTTTATATTAAACAGAAAAGAAAATGCTTCATGAAAACATGAAAAGCATTACTCACACATAGTCATTTCATTCTCAAGATTTGAAATTTGTGTTAAGTGAAGTTGGATTTGTCAGTCTTCACGTTTAACTGTATTTTTCTAGCTTATAGAAGAATTCTTTCCTGATTTATCCATCATCCTGTCTTTCTCTTACCACTTTCATTAATTTATTTGTTCCTAAATTCTTTAAGTGGGATAATCTAAAAAAATTAGAAATGGGGTTTCCTTCATTTACACTGAGTACAATTTAAAAGGGAGACAGAATTGCCAGATTCAGATTTCATAATATAGTGACAAGAAGGTGCTTTAATTAATTTTAGGCAGAAAATTTTTAACAATATATGGCAAGGTGTTCTAGCATTCTAAAAGTTTAATAACAATTATGCTTCACCACTAATACCAACACACATTTAATTATGTATTTTCAAGATTAAATTTGTATCTGTTGATATATATATATATATTTTTCTTACCAGACCAAAGGACTTAAAATAATTTTATGATTGAGACATTAAATTAATACTTTCATAGATTTTTTAAAAATTAAGAGAAAGAACTTTATATATTCTTTTAAACAAATAGATTTCAAGCTGGGCATAAGCTGGCAAAGTCTATAATCCCAGAATTTAGGAGGCTGAGGCAAGAGGGTCGCCAGGAGTTTCAGGCCAGCCTGGGGTACATAGTGAGGTCAAGGCCAGCCGGCACTACAAAGTGAGATCCCCGTCTCATTAAATCAAAACTAAAATAAAGTTGGCTTCAACATTCAATACTGTACATCTATTTAAAGCATATTATAGTTAGTTTCTGTTATTCTGGAGTCAAAATTGGTGTTCCTGCATACTAAAGCGGTTACTGAATTTACCAAATTAAACTTTAGATTTTTTTCACCACTTCAGTGTTAAATTCTAAGTGATAGAAGCCCTAGAACATTTCTTCCAACTTTTTGCTCTTCAGACACATCTGAATTAGTTCAGCCTGGCCCAGCTTCATTATAGTTTAATAAGGTATTTGTAGAAACTCAGTGTTCATGGCACAGAATTCCAGCTTTTCCAGTGTGTCTAGGACGGGCAGCTTGAATTTCAGCTATCATGCATTGTTTCATTTTTCTCCCTGACCTACAAAGTACCAAACTATATGTGGCCTTTTGTTCTTGGCTGCTTTTGCTTTTGCTCAACAGAAAAATGTTTCTCTGGCTTTGTATATAAGTGATGATGATTGTTACTGATGTTTAAAAAGTACATTGAACTGTTGAGCAAAATAAAAGGCAACACCATGTAATACATTGGTCCTTATCATAAACTGTAATGATAGAATACAACTCACAAAGTAGTCCTACAGATAATAATGAGTAGGGTATAGTTAGCTAATTTATGGGAGCAAATAATAAGCATGAAAGAGAAGTAAAAAGTTAATTCCTTTCATAATATGAGATAGGCATTAGCTTAAGTACTTTACAAGAATTATATAATTTAATTTTCATAAAATTGTTCTATGGAACCATTGTTATGCACTTTCTTTATAATAAAACTACAATTTACAAGAACCAGGTACAGAATCACAGGGCAAATGAATATCAGAGTCAGAACCAAATACAGACAAGGCTGCAGTCTGAATGTTCCTAATATTTCTTCATATATGTTTTCCAGTGTGAAAGACCATGTGTCTCTGGTAAATCACTAAAGGTCCCTGAGAACCATAAACGTGCACATTGCTAAAATAGACACAGCACTGTCTTTTACCAGTTTCATATAGTGATTTTGTCATTTGTACAGTTAATTCTGAGTGTCTAATTTAATAGTAACCTCCTATTACTTCAAACCTCAAGAAAACATTCTTAAAATTATATGTTAAACCTGAGATTACATGTTAATACAACCAACAAAACAACATATGGACTATCTTCGTGAATAGAATATTTATTGTACTTACAGGAAATATTTTTGTCTTAACTCAGATGCTAATGAAATCACTCTCTATTAAAGGAGAAGATCTTATAGAATTTATTTGGGGGAACAAAAGATTCATTTCAGTTATAATTAAATTTTCCTTGTTTGGAGAAATGGGAGCATTATCTCTTTATGCA